GGGTCCTCCGGAGGACCCGGCCTGTCGTTTTGGACACAGCCTTTGTCTGTGTTGTTCATGAAGAAGAATCCAATAAAGGTTCTTCAAAACTGCCACCTGGTGGTGAAGTCTTGAACTACAACATGAGCTACACACCTCTCTGTAGCTGTGAGGTGTCATGATACAATATTGTGCTTGATGCATGTGCACTGTTATAAAGACCTTGTAAGCTTTACTTGAGAAAATCCTGTAAACCATTTGCACTAATGTTGGTTATGTAAATTTAAATGCTACAAATTCATGTAATATTTACTCATTATCTAGTAAAAGTTATTAAGAATAGTTAGAGATTTGTGAATAAATCAGGTAAATTTTACTTAATTTGATCACGTATATGTTACAAGATTTAATAGCCTATATGCCACAGACATCCAGCCCAGCACTTGATGCCACTCCCAACACTTCCAGTTCATGGTCAACACAGTGTTAGCAAAAGATTTTTTCACCCGACAACGACTCAATGATCTCCACAATTCAGAATTAGCATATTACATGTACCAACATTAACACAGGAGACGTACAGGTCCAGACAAGTGGAAAAAAAATCACTCCAAAGTGGATTAAAGCCATAAAAACAAAGGAAAGACGTTTGTGTTTATGGTTCCAGAATTTAACCTTTTTCTCTATTCCTTGGCTGCTTGTTCTGTGAACTTTTCACGTAGAGCTGTGACACTTACATTGTTGGAAAGAGCAGAGTCTGAGCTTTAAATCGATGGGCTACTTGTATGGTTTGGATCGTTTTCCCCGACGTTAGTGAACTGAAAACATGATWATCAGGCGGAGGTTCTGCTGCTCTCTGTGCACGGGGGGAGGAGGGGGAGGGGCGTGCTCGTCACTCGGCTTTAGTCTACGCCAGAGGTGCCCAAAGTGGGGCCCGCAGGCCAAATTTGGCCCACCAAACAATTTGATTTGGCCCACGAACAGTTGTCCTGCTTATTAGATTGTAATTACATTCAGATTGAATATAAAATTCAWGTAACTACAAGAGACATTTAGATTAGATTTAAGCCCATATCTAGATTTGCACACCTTAAAAGACCCCATATACCCAATTTTTAAATTATGAATAGTTTCATGAGCCTTTGCTGACATTGCATTGACTTTGCATACATTGAATTTTCTCCATGTCCATGGGTTAAAACAAATGTAGGCAACCACACTAGCTCCTAGCTTAATCATAAAAATAAAACAAGTTTATGTAAGAAGTATTTGCATTTCTTATTATTGCATTTGGCCCGCGACCCTCAGATCAATTTTAACCTTGGCCCTCTTAGGGAAAAGGTTTTTTTTTTAATTTGGCCCTCTCAGTTAAAATGTTTGGGCACCCTGGTCTACGCTGTAATATACACGCTAACAAGGTTTTACTTTTGCATAAAACTCATGACAAAGTCACATAAAAAACATTTCATATAACACAAACGCGCACACACACCTACCTTTGTACCGGTTGCTGTGTTAGCTTCCTGCGTTCCTGTGTTAGCTGTTGTGTGGAGAAGGTCTTTCCTCTCTCGTCTTGGCAGTAAAAGGGGATAAATGTACATTTCCCTTTTGTAACCTCCATCTTCTCATTTCTGATGCTGACTCTTGAATATCCTCAGGTTGGAAATGCAGATTACAAACCAAGCGTGAGCTTTTAAAGATAAGTTTTGCCTGTAATGCTATGATCCTCTGCTGTCACCTCCTCATCAAGAGGAAAATGGATAAAAACTAACTACTCGATCGTATCTGCTGCTTAGTGGACACAACGGCTCAGAACAGAACTCATATTTTATACCAGTAGATCACAGATGCTACAACTTTTGTGACTTTTTCACGGACTAGAACTAGGAGCTAACGCTAAAAACATTGGCAGTAAGCAGGAAGTGGAAGGGAGGAGCGTGGCAAGAGTTTTACCGGAAATACGTCATTAATGACCGTGGCATGTAGGCTATTGAGCAAATTAAGTTAAATTTACCTGATTTATTCACAAATCTTAAACTATATTCTTAATAACTTTTACTAGATAATGATGAGAGTAAACATTTCATGAATTTGTTGCATTTAAATTTACTTAACAAACGTTGTGCAAATCGTTTACAGGATTTTTCTCAAGTAAATCCTACAAGTTATTTTTTACAGTGTCAGAGGAACTGGACCTTATTCTGTTCTGAAGTAGAATATAGAATGCTACTTTTGGCGCCTCGACTTGGTGCCTTGTGTGATTTAGTTTTACCCAGTGGATGCAAGATTAGCTTCCCTGTGCCTTTGGGCAGGAGATAGGGCTCTGATGGTGATTTGTAACTACGTTCGAACAGCAGTTCAGATTATCTGGCCTTCTTGGAGTCATTATCGAGGGTGCTYGAAGGTGTTCTAGGTTGGGACTCCTTTATTCTGCTGGGGTACTTCAMTGCTCATGTGGAGAATGACAGTGAAGGACGYGAATGGGAGGAACAACCTCTCTGAACTGAACCTGAGCTGTGTTCTGTTGATGGGCTTCTGTGCTAGTCACAGTTTGTCCATCATACTGGTGGTCAGAGGSTCCGGTGGTGCCAATGCATGGCAGCCCTGCCTCTGTCAGTGTGCCCCAGGACAGCTGTGGCTATAATGTAGCTTAATAGCATCAGTGTGTGAATGTGTGAATGCATTTAAGTGTAAAGGGCTTTGGGGTCCAGAGGGACTTGATAAAGTGCTATATAAGTTCAGTCCATTTACCATTTACCATCACAAACACCATGTTTAAAGAAAAGGGTGTCCATAAGTGCGTGTGGCACCAGGAAACTATAGGCTGCCCAGTTCAGTCATTTAGTTCATTTTTCAGTTTTAACCTGCATCTTGTTGGCCTCAGCTCATGTCTTTTATTCTTCATTCAGATTGGAGGGCTGCAAGATGTCAGGGATCAGCTGTTCTTCTCTGGGCTCAGCTCTGAAGTCCAACCCCTCCCATCTGACAGAACTGGACCTGAGTAACAACAACCTTCAGGCTCCAGATGTTCAGCAGCTGTTGGATCTTGTGGAGAGTCCAGCTTACAAACTGAAGAATCTAGGGTCAGTAGATGGTCTGAGTGAGTCCAGACTGGGACTGAGCTGTATTACAACCCCTGGCAAAAACTATGGAATCACCAGACTTGGATGAGCACTCATTCAGACATTTCATTCTGTAAAACAAATTCAGATCAAAAACATGATG